CCACAAGTCAGCTACAACATGATGCTAAATTATTTGTTCCATCAAGTTCATATACTTGTAGTGGGTATGTTCTTAATAAAATGATCTCCAGGTAATCAGGTTAGTATCTACACTCACTATAATAACCATGTGCTTTTGCCCTCCATTGCAGGGTAAAGATCAGAAAAGGCACAAGTCTGAATCTAGCCCAACCCCATCCCTCTCTCACAATCTCCTCAATCCTATTTAAACGTATAGAGCTATAGCACAGTCAGCATACATATGCTGCACAAAGTTCACACAAAAATATAGCTTTGCCCTTCTTAGAATCTGCTACTGATACTTTGAAAACTTTCAGCTTTCCCAGCCTTGCTGTTTACCAGAAACAGTATGTCACACCTGCAACTCAAGAACAATGTAAGAGGCAGAGTTCAAGTACAGGCTGACCTGCAAGTGAAATGAGATGGTCACTTCATTTTCTACATGCAGATCCAATCAGTCACAAATTAATTTGTGAATCTTCGGGCTTCTTTGAAATTTCTTTCTAGTGCCTGAGTCTTACTGTCATTTCTTAGCGTTTCTTTCTGTGCCTCAGTCTGAACTCTTCACAATGAGCATGTAATTATTTCGCATTTTAAGTGTTAACAAATCTGGTTAGGTCTAATTGGGAAAGGAACAAAAATAAGGTTCTAGTTTTCAGTCTCACATTTATCTCATGTTAAGCTGCTACTTTCTAATAACCTAGTTTTTAGGTGTCACAGGAGGATTAAACTTCCTAGGGAACAGAGTGACTAAATTGCTACTTACCCTCAGGTTTAACCATCATACAACTCAATGTAACAGAATAATAATGTGCATGTCAATTATTCTCTTTGCTAGTAAAAATTTTGATAGGAAAAAGTTTATATGAAGAAACAACTTAATGATATTCATTGGCATATTTTCCTCTTTCCAAATCTTATATTTAAGCACTGAACTTAAGAAATTAAATTTTCTTCCACAGTATGCCAAAAGGATTTACTACTAAATTCAAATGGCCACAGGCAGTCCCTTACTAGCTCTACTGTGAGTTAAATAAACAGTAATTTGACTCTAAAGAAGGAAGAGCATAGGTATTAATGTTTTTAAGTAACACATAGGCCTGAATGTGAACAAAGAGAAAAGTTGATTTCATCATAGTAAGTAAAAAGAAATATTTATTCTGATTTTAACTTGTGCTAAATGCCTTAACAAATAAGGCAAAATTACTTGTTATAAAATCAACTTTTAGCTGAGTGTGGTGCACAGGTCTGTAATCTCAGCACTGTGGAGGCTAAAGCACAAAAATTATGAGTGTGAGTCAAGCCTTGGTAATTTAGTGACTTAGCAAAACTCTGCCTCAAATGGGCTGGGGATGTGGCTTAATGCAAGGACCCTGAGTTGAATACCAGAACCAAAACCGAACAAAAACATCATGGATCAAAGGTGTCAATTTAAAAACTAAAATCATAAAATTTTCCAGAAAAACACATAAGTGAAAAGCCTCAACATGTTGATCAATTACCTATGTAAAAACATAGGTAAGAAAAGAAAAATAAATAAAATCAACTTTTAATTTCTGCTCAAGCTTTTCGATCTCTTGATATTATCACTTATTTTAAATGCAAAGTTTAACCTAAGAATAATGATTATCTTAGAAAAACAAGTTTTAAGCAAGAGGCAGAGGTAGGAATGCTTCAAGTTCAAGTCCAGTCTAGGCAACTGAACAACTAGGTACTCTGTCACAAAATAAGAAGGGGGGGGGGGGGGGAGGAAAGAAAAAAATTTAAAAAGGATTAACTATGTAATTCAGTAAAAAAGGCCAAGAATAATCCCCAATATCACAAAAAACTAAAATGTTTAAGGCACAATTTAGTATTTTCATCAGTTTCAAATAAACTAGCATAAAAATATTTAATTAGGTTTTGAGTATGAGGTTTTTGAATTTACACTAGGAAGGTTTTTTTTAGAATTTTAATCAAAAACATTTAAATGAAAACTTTTAGTTTACTGCTCTGAAATATAAATCTTTCATTTTTAAGTGTAGAAAAATGAGAAATGGTGCAATTAATGGACTGGAATATTAAAGACCACTGCCAGCAGCCAACTGCTAGCTGCTAAATTTCAAGAGAACTCACAGTAGATGAAATTTTTAAAAACTGAACATGCCTACCCTCTTATTGAGCACTTTCTCAATTTTCCTATTACAATTAACAATGTAACTCAGTGGTCAAGTCTTCCAGACCAATAACCTCACGGATTATTTTTAACTCCTGACTCCTTCACAAATGTTTCCCTTCAATCCAATCCAAAGTCCTTCCAGTGTTTCACTCACACAGTACCTCAATTCTGTTTTTTCACCCCATTTTCACATTTCATTTTATTCTCTCATGATTAACAACAAATACCCTGCTATTTCCCTAAAAAGCCTCTAATGTCTCTCTATTCAAATTCATCAATTCAGCTGTCCAAATCATCTTCAAATATCTGGTTCAGCAATTTACAGTAAATCCACATCTCTCTTGAACCTCAACCAAACTTACAAGACCCCTTTGCTCTCTTTTCAAGTAACCTTCCCATATTCCTCAATTTCATTTCTTCTTATTTTCTTGTTAAGGTCCCTTTAATTCAGATTTCAATTCTCCTGCTGTGTCTCACAAAATTCACCACCTAAGTGTTCTGTACACTGTTTTCCACCTAAAGTCCTTCATGCTTCTCTCCTTTAACACCCACTTCAAAACACACCTTCTCTGCAGAAATCTTACTTCTCCAATCCTTCTTTCTCATCTATTTATTCTCTGTGCCTCTGAACAAAGGATACAATTTGTATTTTATAATTATACAATCACCATGCTAATGTTTCCTATTTTTTCTCATAACCGCCTTTATTATTAAATAGGATTTTGTCATCAAGAACTATAATTTCTTATGTAGCTTTGTCTTGAACAAGGGTCCCTTAGAACACTAATACCTTAACAAATGGTAAAGGGCTCCTGTTTTTCTAAGTTAATTAGGGTCAAGTTTGCCAAAACCACAGTTTGCATTCAATAACTTTTAAATGTTAAACTTAACTATACTGTAATATAAAATTAAACCTTTTAACCTCCACATTTAAAGAGTCACTGTATCCCTGGGTCACCATCTGTCAAAAACTAAGGAGTCCTTTTCTAAGAAAATACTGGAAACAAAATGAAAGGTCCCAAAATTTAGCATTATAATCTATCTACAGAAATCTTTCAAAAGCATCTAATAAATGAATTGCCTAAAATTGATTTTGAGTGGTCTTTAAACTATTATTGCCAAGATGTAAAGTATACAAACACTCCAGTACAAGAGGCTCTTAAGTAGCTATTATAAGATCTGCTACACCATAGCTGAAAATCGCCCCCAGAATTTAAACAAATCTTTTCAAACGACCCCATGGAGTGCTTAGAAAGTGTGATCCTTCCTTGAAACATGAAAGTCAGTTTCTCTCTTCACACAGCCTACATTCTGCATTAGTTGGTCACTGAGGGGAAAAACTAACTTTTAAAATAATCTCCCTTTTAGTTATTACCTGGGGCTATCCTGTTTCAGGCAAGTTCTAAAAGCCTGAATGAATTGAAATCTTGAGCTCAATTAAAAGTAACAATTTTACATTGCTTAAGGACATAATCAATTTCACATAACAAGGTACATATTTGAGTTTTTTAAAAAAAACTTTTTAAATCTCAATTCTCCGGTTCTCAGTTTTTGTAGACAAAATAGTTTAACTTGCCCTTATTACACCCCTTTTTGTGGAAAATAAGGAAACAGAATTTTTTTATCAAATTCGAAAAGTATGTTTAAACAAACTGGCATTAAATACCACATAAACATCTCCACAAATAGATGCATTAAAACATTATATACTTAGTATACCAAACACTTCAAGAACACAGACTTTTCAGGACAAATTCAGGGCAAGAGTACAGCATAGATAGACACAACCTTTAACACTGCTAAACACTGCCCAACACGATCCTTACAGCCAGGATCACGGGCTTTGGCAACAACTAATTTGGAAAGGCCTAAACCCATACTGTTACAACTATACCCATACTCAGCTAAATCGATGGAAACTAATGCTACAGTATTTTAAAATGTCTTGAAAAAGAACCTCAGTACTGTACTCCAGAACACGTAACAAATAATGAAAGCAATGGTACCTCTAAACTAATCTACTATGACAATGAGTCAGTGACAATTAACATTTAACTTAGGATCTGACATTATGACAATACAAACCTTAGTCAAAACTGGTACTTCCAAGGTACCCTTTGATTAAACAAATTAATATGGTAGCAGATGAGTAATGTAATGTCAGAACAGGTTAGGAGATAACATAACAAATCACTTATTCAAGTGAAGACGATGCGTTCTGAGATACAACTGCTCCTGGATATTTATTGGTTCCCACCCGCCCCTACTAAAAGGATCAATGTTCTCTCCAAACGCGAATCCCAGGCACGTTCCTCTTCAGATCAAGAACAAATACTTTGTACAGTCACACAGCTTGCCCCTCACCAAGAAAAGTGAGGCTGGCACACAAAACTACGGTAACTCTTCAGACTCAAACTAACATATCGTCCCTTATATCAGAAGACATACACCCTACACATGTACGTGATGGTTTATAAATCAAGACTTGTCCTCTTTGCTCAAAAGGAGAGGTAAGCAATCACTTCCGTGGCCGTTCGAACGTGGAAACCATCGAGCTGACTACCAACAACAAGAAAAGTGTAACAAGTTAAGTTTCCAGTTGATTCATCCAAATTATATTCTCCCCAAGTCAAGGTTAACGAGACCCGGGAGGCTGCGTGCAAGAGGGAGCTGCCTCATCTTTGCTGAAGACAGGTTTTGTCCTTTCTCCATTACCTCTGATTGTTCTCTCAGAAGGTCTAAAATTAAAGACCCTGGTAGTGCAAGGTTTCTTATTTTAAGAGTGTGGTGGCGAAGGGGGATAAAATAAAATCGATACTCACTGCTAACTTTCATGCTGCCAAAAGCTGAAGGCTGCTGCACTGGCTTGCAGCTCTCCGCAAAGGAGGTGGTTCTCGGCCGCCCCGACATGATTGCTCTTCCCGAATCACCTTTTCCTTCCTCCTTTTCTTCCTTTTGTTTTATGTTGGGGCGTTAGGTTAATGATAAATGCAGCATTAAGTCTCTCACAAGAAAAAAGAAAAGGAAAAAAAAAAAAAAAAGACTTCGTTCTCTTGGCTTTTCACTCCTTTTCTATAGCTTTTTTTTCTTAAAGCCAGCGCTGTATTTCGCCTTCAAGATAGGTACGGATATTTAACACATAGATGATTTGGAACTAGGGAAAAATATAATTCTTCCACCTCCCTTTTCTGGGAAGGAAGAAAAGGGGTGGTAAGGGGGAACCTTAAAAATATATATTTATATATATATATATATATATATATATCACATGAAACGGCGACAGATAACTTGATTGAAAATAAGTACTTAGATTATTGTATTTTCCTCGGGGATTTTTTTCCGAGTCAATGAAGAAGGAAAGCGGCGGAAGGATCACGAGTCTCACGCTTGACGAGAAGGGGGATGGGAAGGAGGGAGGGAGGTGGCGGCTCGGAGATGCGACGGGAAACGCTGCGACTCCGGCAGCGACCGGATCCGGCGGGCAGGCGGACGGCAGGGCCCCTGCGACCGGGAGGGCGGCGGAGTCAGTCAGTCAGTCAGCGGCGGGCGGCGGCGGCGGCGGCGGCGGCGCCTCTGCTCATTGCGCCAGGAGCAGCTGCAGGCGGCGGCTGGATCCAGCGGCCATGGCGGCGGCGGCGGAGGCAGCTCCCTTCAGACTCCGGGCGGCGGCTCCTCGACTGCTTCACATACGCCGGGGACATGGGAACCCAGCAACCGCTTCCGTCCCTGGGGGCCCCCTCCCCCGTCCGCGGCACCGGCACGGCCGCCCTCCGCCCCTCGCCTGCGCTTGTGCCCGCTCAGGAAGTGTCCGCGCTTTGCCCCCGGCCCGGAGCCCTGTCAGCGGCTGCGAGGTCGGCTCCTCCTGGCTTCCTTCCTTCCTTCCTTTGTCACTCGGCCCGGGCGGCGACGGCGGCGGCACAAGCCCGCATTCGCCCGGGTCGGGGGCTGCTGTGTGAGGAGCGCCGTCTGCGCAGCCGCCTAGCGCTTCCCACTCCCCCTCCCCCTTCCTACTCGTCCCCCGTCTCCTTCCTCCCCCGCCCAGCCTTACACCGCCCAGCGCCCCACCGCCCGCGTAACAGGCATCTGGGAATCGCCGTCCGAGCCCGCGCCCCCCTTTTTCTGCAGGGAGGCCGAAATCCAAAGCGGAGCCAATCACCGAAGTCGTTTCTCTGCCGCTTCTCCCGGAAAAACCCGATCGGCCTGAAGAACCAATTAGAAAGTATCGCGGAGAAGCCACGCCCAAGGAGCGGAAAGTGCCGAAGGTCGCCCGGCCACAGAAAGGTGGATTTGCCCTATTCTGTGGATGGCTGGAAGAGAAATTCGACAATAGCAACCGTGGCCAATCAGAATTGTTGGCTCTCAGGAAAAAGCAAGAAGAGTTATGAAGGATGGTAAAACTAGAGTCGCGGGAGAAGCTGCGAGGTTTGGTCCCGCGGCAGCTTCATAATTGGTTGGAAAACTCCGCTGAGAGTATATCTCTCCCGGTGATTGGTGAGGGAAAGGGGACTGCCGAGGACATCTGGCCAGTCAGAATGTCTCCTACCTTGCAGAGGCGGGGAGAAAAAAAGCAAGGGAACTAGTCTATAAGGCACCGTCTCATTGGCCTGAAGCTTTGGAGTTGGAGAAGGGCAGAAGGCAAAAGGAGGGAAGCTGAAACCGGCGGCGGCAGCCAATCGGCACTCACTGCTGCGCAATCGCTAGACCTAGCTGCATTACGATTGGCCTCCGGCCACCGCCTTCGGTCCCAAGAGCCGGAGGAGCTTGGACCTGGGCCGTAGCGGCCGATCCGATGAACTAGTCTGCGACTGCTCTCAGACAACGCGGACACCGCAGATGTGACACGCGGGCCCCTCTGCACGACTGGTCCGAAACTGCTGCGGTCTGTGGGGCTGGGCTCGGGGCGCTCCCCACCCACAGGGAGCTCCCTCGCGGGGCGCATCTCGTTCTGCGCACCCCAGGATTACTGCTGCGCGGGATTGCCCTTATGGAGTATAGGGGCCTTCTTCCCCCCAAGGGCTGCTGGATGGACCCAGGAGCCGTGAGGCTGGGTACGAGCTGTCAGACGCAGAAATGTGAACAAAGCTTCCACAAGCTTAGAGACCTTGAGTGGCCGCACCCTGCTTAGTCCTGGGGCCCCTGATAGCGAGGTCCTCTGCGCCGTGTGTGCCACCAGGCCTGGCGTTTGGAAACGCCCATGAGAGATGAGCTAATACTAAATATGCGCGCGCTCCTTGGCGCCGCTGCCCAGCGCCAACCGGGCTCCGAAGGCAGGTGAGGGGAAATGTCGTCAGCCCGGATATCCCGAAGCTCTAAGGATAAGGGAGTCAGAACCTCCCGCAGTAGCTTTGAGTCCTTTGGAACAAGGCTGATGTGTGAAAGTGTTGAGTAGGTTTCCCACGTAGGCTAGTGTCCATTGTTCTGCTGGAGGACCGATTCCTTTGGTTCTGAGAATGGTGAGGCCTGGCTACCACCGACTAGAGAAGGTAGAATGGACACTTGCCATCCTGGTGGTAATCCACTGGTGCTTGTAATTTCCACCTGCAGAGTCATCTCTTTCTGTTAAGATGCTATCTTCAGAAAGCGTGTGTCCAACTACATGTCCTGTATCAGATTGCCTACCTATTCCTTTGAAAAACTGATGAAGGACCTGGAACTGAACAAAGTAAGCATTGATGGAAGAAGAAAGGTCCAGAGAGGGTGTGCAGACTCAGATGTCTGCAGGGGCCAGAAAAGGAAAGCAAATGAGACTGGTAAATGAGTGAGTTGGGACAATGGCCACTGATAAGGAATATAGACAGTATGCGTTCCACTAGGAAAAGGAGTACCTGCGGCCCTTGCAGAGTGTTTCCCTCAGGAATGTGGATCTGGTATTAGGAAATACTGTTTTCTCCTCCCAAGAGAAACCCTAAAGTGGGATTTTTGTGTGGAGGTCTCTAAATTTTAACATATTGACAACCAATATTCCAAAACGCTACAAACGTAAGTAAAAGGCATACCAGAATAGATGGGGCCAACATCCACTTGACTTGTAATCTCAAATCTGAGCATAGGTTTTACAGCCCAAGAGCAGTAGAAGCTCTTACTTTTTGCAATTAAAAGAACAGGAGATCACTGGATGCCATGGGAGGGGATAAAGAATATTAAAAGCAGATTCATTACTTGACAACTTTGTTATCTGAATAGTGCCCCTTCATGGTATTATGAAAGACCTCTGCTACTATGCCTAGAAAACTAAGGAAAAGCTTTAAATCCTTCCTGCTTCTTTTTAACTTTCCATTCCTACTGCCAGTTATGCCAGCAGGAAAATAACAGATCTTTAGGTTATATGAACTGGAAATGGCTATTCTTGTATGTAAGTAAAACCTGAAGGTTGTGATTAACTGCTGTTGCTGCTTTCAAGTATTTTGAAATTCTGTTTTTAAAAATGTTAAAGGCTAAATAAAAGGAGGGAATTTTAGGGGGAGAATCTCCCTGTCTAATAATAAGACAAAATAACTGGAAAGGGGATATATATATATATAATCTTTAGTTGTTTCCTAAACCTCACCTTCCCACCTGCTGCCAATCATGTATTAGCTATAATTCTAGTTAGTGGGTGTTTACAGTGTGTTAAATGTACAGCAGTCTCACAAAGAGAGTTGTTATCTCCTTTTTTAAGATGAGGAAAGTGATACAGAAACTTACCCAGGGTCCACAAAACTAAAATAGAAGTACCAAGATTCAGCTCCTGTGCTCTTAATCTCTGCTCCAGACTTCTCGGTTGCACAGTCTTCACCTCCCCTGGTGTAGTTTACGTTCTTTATCCGATATCTAACATTAACCTTGTACCTTGTGCTTTGTGTCCCTAGTTGTGCATATGGCCATAACAATAACAATTTGATGTCCTCTAGGAGTCATCAGACAGCCTTTTATGGAGATCAGTGATTTTAAATCAAAGTGACAGTAAACCAAAGGATAGAAAAGATAAATGTAGGAGGCCAGGTGGTATAGATCAGGGAAGTGGTATAGTGGGGAAAAAAAAGTTGGTGAGCATTCTCTGAGATAATAGATATAAATTAAAATGCACAAGGCTTCATATAAATTAAAATGCTTCATATCATTTGGTTCTCAACCCAGTAAAATAAGAGAGGCTATTTTTTTTTGGTTTGTTTTTACAAATGAGAAAATTACGGACCAGAGTGACTAAATGACATGTTCAAAATGACTGAGCTGCATTTTTTAATTGAAACTAGAAGAAAGTATGAGCAGGTCTAACAGTGCAGCAGCAAGCGTTGTGTCCAAAGGTCTCGTGAATTTGTCCCTTGCTTCAGGTGTTTGGATGGAACAGACTGGTGTCTCTCTCCCTTGAGTCTTCCATCCACCTTCTAGTTACCAAGTTTTGGGGCCATCTTCTCACCCATCCCAGGCCTCTAGAACCAGCCAATACCATTCTTTTGTAGGTAGGTCCTTACTGCTGACCAGCCCTGACTTCTCAGATTTATCAAAACTATTCTACCAGGACGGAGGCTGCTGTCAACCACCTAGTGAATCTGCACCCACAGGCCTCCTACACTTCTCTTTGGGCTATACCTTTGACCATGATGACGTGGCTGTGGAGAGTATGGACCGTTTCTTCCTCTAGCTGGCCAAGGAGGAACGCAAGGGTGCCAGGCATCCCCTAAAGATACAGCAGCCAAGCTGTCTCCCAAGATGTGGGAAAATCTTCTGAGGATGAGTGGAGCATGACCCTAGGGAAGGCCCTGAACCAAGCTCTTCTGGATCTTCAGGCCTTGGGCTCTACCAAGAAAGACTCCAGTGTCTATGATTTTCTGGAGAACCACTTTCTAGATGAGGTGAAGCTCATCCTGAGAAGACTTTTAAAGTATACAAAGTATCAACCATACCCAATCTCTTTTGGCATTAAAAAAGCTGCCTCCTAGGGGAGAAGGGGGCAAGTTTCTGAGTAGTAGTCTTCAGTATACTTTCTATTTTTTACTTGTCTTTTTTTTTTTTTTTTTTTTTTTTTTGTCTTTTTCATTTTTATTGGTACCAGGTATCGAGCTCATGACTGCCTGCTTGCAAGGCAGGCGCTTATGTCGCTGAGCTAAATCTCCAGCCCCCTTACTTGTCTTTTTCAGACAGATTTTCGTTGTGCAGTTTAGGCTACACTTGAACTCACTTTGTAGCCCAGGCTGGCCACAAACTTGGAGCGATCCTCCTGCCTCAGTCTCTTTCGTGCTGGAATTACAGGTGTGCACCACTACATCTGGCTTTAGTAGGGTTTTTAAACATGTTCCAATTTCCTATTTTTTTTTTTCTGTTTAGTCTTGAAACTGCCTCCTTGAATCCATCTAAAAATGCTTGTTTAGATGGATTCTGTTGCTACTATGGATCTTTCTTTTTAGATTATTTTTCTGTGGAATATGTAGCAAAGTTATAGACAATAGAGGATAAAGATGTATTGGAAGGTATGAGGACCCAAAATGCTGTCAGTTATTTCCAATCACTTATGCAAGCATGGGCATGGTGGCTAAAAAGGCTGGGGTAGGGGGGTTGCTGTAAGTTCAAGACCAGCCTGTACTACATAGTGAGACCCTGTCTCAAAAAATAAATACTAATAATAATAGTGAATTCAACCCAGGTACTGTGCTAGGCAGCTAGAACATATAATGATAAGAACTGATTAAAAGTAAATAACCACTGAAATTATCAGTCACTGATTGTTTCCATGAACTTTATCTTCCCACCTGCTGTCAACCAATTGCTTCAATACTTTGATTTTAGATTACATGCAAATTATCTCAGTTTTACAGATGAGAAAACAGAAACAGGAGAAGTAAGTTACTCAAAGTCACACAACTAGAAAATAAGTTTTCAAACCTTTGGCTTAACTCTTGGTAACCTAGCCTTGACTTTCTTCTTAGAAAATCATCCAAAATTCATCAAAATTCACTTACATCCA